TCATCAGATACACAGAAGTTATCCAGGAAAATACAGATAAATTGGGTATTGTAAATGGAGACACTTAGAAATGTGGCTAATTTTCTTTCTTATCCACTGAAGCAAACACAGGCTCTGAAAAGGACCAGGTACCGGGGTCCCTCCCCACAGCCCTGGGCAGATGGACCACTACCACTCGGCTTCATGCTGGCTCATTTACTTAGTGTTTTGCAATCCTTAATGTGCACAGCTGGCAGCTGAATGCAGGTTTGATACTAACAGTTTAGACATCTTTAGATGTAGCAGATGGAAAATTTTACACAAATAAAGTAGGAGAAAGTGTGCAATTAGGTTTTTATCTGCAGTTACATGATGCATCCTCTGTTTTAGTTTAGAACATCACCTTAGTGGGTGGTCATGATCTTTTCTTGTATCCAGGCCCTACCTTCTTGACACCACATTTGATGTTGGCTAAATGCCCAAGTACCAAACTTTTGTTTTTGTTGAGTGTGATTGAAATAGGGAATGCAACAATCAGCAAAGCAAAAGGCATACCATCAGTGAGATTGTAACAGTCCAGTACATTATGGTTACATTCTTTGCTAGTTAAGTCACTATGGTAAAATCCTTGGCAGGATTTTTTTCAATAGTTTATTCATGATGTTCATTATTATGAGTTGTAAAGAGTATGAGAATTTCATTTTTAAAATGTCTTATGGAATGTATCACTTTCTTAGATCTTGTAGACATGCTGTGGAAACCATAACATAAAATATGAGTTACTTACAATAACTAATTTTAATCCCATCTGCTAAGTATGACAACATTAGCATTTCCACTTAATTAAAAACACCCTTAAAGCAGCAATGTTTTAATCACTCCATTTTATTTACTCTCCTCCGGTGTCACTTATAATTGTAACTTTTTATTTTTTAATAATGAGGGATTTTTTTTCTCCTTGCATCACACAAAAAAGTGCTGTCGATAATTAGCAGTCTTCTGTTATTAGTAGACTCAGGTGTCACAACTGTGTCTCATCCTCATTACAGTAAAAAATTTCACCTATCAGATTCATTATTGCTAGATAATGCGACTGAGAGCCTTTGCAGGCCCTCCAGAAAAGTAATTCAGCCAAGCAAAATTATCAGCTAATTATATTTAGAATCAAAAGCCCAACAACTATTTGCAGATAAATTGTATGAATTGAAGTGAATAGATCTGAATATTAAGATTCATAGATTTGGCAGATGATTTGTTAATTGGAATAAAAAGGTCATTTACTAGTCATTTTAACAATAGATCAATTGGAACTCTATTATTTAACTGGTAGTGCCTAAGAATTGAAGTGATGAATAATTGTATTATTGTCATAAGATGAAAATTTTAATATATATATATGAGAAACTTATGAAAATGAATTTTATAAATTAGTTTTAAAATACTGTGGCCTATTTAATATATTTTAAAACATTGTCCTCATATAAGTAATGTGTATCATAACAAGTCAAAAATAGAACCAAAAGAGATGGTGGGGTTTTTTTCTTGATGAATTAGAAATATAACCATGACTAACATAATTTACAAATAGAAGTTGAAATCCAAAATTTGTAAAATTTTTCTTCCTAAATCAAATAATGCCATTTCTATCTTACTGTATTTTAATTAGCAGAGGTTTTTTGGAAACGGCATGGTACATATTCATACGATGACTCAAAATGTAACTTGGCCTGCAATTTTCTTTCGGGGAACAGAATACTCTAATTCAAATCCATTATTAAAAAGCAGATAACATGTGCACTCTCTGAAATGCCTATGACTTCACTCTTTTGATTTTATGTAATTATAAGAGAATGTTCATATGTATTTGCTTTTCAATTGGCACAGCATTTAAAAACTGAATGTCTTAAGATAAAGTGCATGCTTTCTTTTGGTCCATAAAGAATATCATTGGTTTATAAACTCAAAACTTTTGTAAATGTTTTATAATACAGTCACAGTGTAGTTTATAGCTGTGCTTATAATAAGAACTTCTATGTGTACCCTATGTGTGTATCAAAAAAATAGATACTAGTTTGCATTCTGAAATTAATAATCAGTAACCAGAACCTGTGCCTTCCCACTGTATTATTTTCTAACGTCTATCAGTTCTCAAGCAAAACTTTGAACTCAATATTTTTCCAAAATTTGCAGCTCAAAGTAAATACTTTTCATTTAAACTAATTTCAGTTAACATAGGAAAACAGGGAAAACATCACCCACTTAAAAACAGCTTAAGTTTCATGTACTTCATCACTGTAAATAAACAAGGTAAACACTGACATGACTTCAGAGTATTCTTGGGTTGAAAAAAATCTGCAGTTCAAAATAAATTTCCCCTTTGGTCAACATTTTGGATGCAATTCAGAGTTTCTCAGAAAATAAACATATTTTAAAGGGTGTTTTGAATTTCATTGCATAATTTCTAGCCAACAGAATGACAGTGGTATCTTTAAAGTTGATTATATGTCAGATCAATAGCTATTATGCAGAGCTAACACAGAAGGAAGACGCAATACTCTGCTTCTGCTTAACCCTTCTACTGTGACGTGAAGAAAAACTTCCCATAGGTGGGTCCACGGGGAAATACTCTCACAAAGTGAAACTTTCATATTTGTTTGTTTAATAATACAAGTATTCTTTGCTGATAAAATGGAAAGTGAGCTGAATTTTTGGTCAAGAAAGCAAAATGTTCACTAAAGTAATCTTCATGAGAGTTTTTCAACAAAAGGGGGAAGAGTTTTACATTCTGCATAATAACAAATTGTTTTGAAGCATGAGCTTAAAATGAAAATGCCCCATTACAACAGATTGTAAAATTTTTTCTGATGCTTTTAAAAGTGCCTCAACCTTTTCTACGGCTACAGTGCTAAAGTTAAGTATTTGCTATTTTATTTAAACATTTTTGAAAAATGAACATTCTGAGGCTCTGCAGCATTATTAAGAAAAGCTGTCCATACTTTACCATGTTGTTACATGTGTTTATCTGCTGATTATAAAATGTGTTAAACAGTATTTTAAAAACAAAAAAAAAAAATGCAGAGCTGTGCTTTGATTAATTCAGTGAACAAAACATATGCTGTTGGTTCTGTTCTATGAAATTCATATATGATCAATAAAATCTTTTAAAAGAGCAACTTTGGCTTTTAGAATTATACTGCCGACCATGTTTTTTGTCCCAGTTAACTCTGGGCTCATTCTGTTAACTTAGGCAAACAAAACCACTTTCTGGCTATGACGGTAATGTCTTTTTAATATATTCTTACACTCTTTCTAAATTTTCTCTAGGTTGGAAGCTGTGTACTGTGGGTGTTACCCACTTTGTCCTAAAGATTTGGTTTATCCCGAAATATTTCCAGGTAGCTGCTTTAATGTGCCTTCATCTTTATTGAGATTTAATATATGATTCATGCTAAATTAGAAAGTTTGAAAATAAACTTAGGCAGGAGCAATTGTTTATTTGGCAAGTCAACATGTTAGTGTTAAGGAAAATTTTATGTGTTTTAATACATTAGAGTAAGCTTATATTTACCATCTGTTCTTTTAAGATAACAAAAAAGCAAGTTTTCAAATAACATTCTTCATTGTTAGCATACACATCCCATAATGATGGATTTTTATAAGCAGATCAATGTTGCTGCAATTGCTTACAGATTTTTTTTAATGATACACACAGAGAAAAATCAGGGATTGAAAGTCACACCAAATTATTTAAACAATTGACTAGTTAATAATATGCAACTGTTCTACAGGGTACATACGGCTATAGTACGAGTTTTTTGAAAAAATTCTCATCACTAAATATATCACATATGCATTGTGTTACATTAGAATAATGTATTTTAATCACCCAAAGGAGATGTCTAAACAGCACAACTACACAGTCTTATTTAGCATTAAACATCCTTGTGAGCTGAGGTAACCTTATAAAATCATGCTTAAATAATGTAAAACACGAGGCGGCACAGAGCAATATGCATTTTTAATTAGTAAAGTGACTAATATTGAGTGTGTGCTTTGAGGTTTTTGTTTCATTAAAAATGTATCTGTTTTTCCTGCAGCTGAATATCTGTATTCAACACCTGAACAGCTTTCAAAAAGGCTCCAGAATTTCTGCAAGAGACCAGCTATTATAAGAAAACATCTCTATAAGGTAGTTATTGAGAAGAGATTTACATGGTATAAACGCCATATTGAAGTACAAAGAAAAATCTTTAAAAAAAAAAAAACATTTAATTAACATACTAATGTTTAAAGGAAACATGCTAGGGAGGGATATTAGTTGTTACACTAACAAGGATTAATTAAACTGGATGCCAGTTGTATTAACCTAGGTCTTATGAAATACGTGCACTTAATGCACGATACATGCTTTTTTTAAAATTTATTGTTTTCTAAGATGACTGTCCTTTACATTTAGCCCCTAGAGGCTTATAAAAATGAACCTGGATTAATGTAACTCATTAGTTTAAAAGGAAGTAAAGGAAAGATTCTACAATTATACTAATGAGGATAAGCCTTTCTTCCCATCATAATGAAATCTTTAGTCCTCAAAAATTCAGGTGAATGACATTAGTGAAGTTTGGTGTTCATTTTTGAACTACTTGAAAGGTGATTTTTAAGAATTGAATATTTCTCTTATCCAATTTAATAAAAATCCCCAGTTTCTTTAGAATGTCAGCCTCATCTCTGAATGGCAAGGGGAAAATAGTGTAAACAGTATCATTATTCACTCCCCTCGTTCATTATCTTCTTTTCCTTATTTGAATCAAGAATTTTACATTGTTGAAATAGTAACACAAAGAAGCCCTACTAAAAGTCTAAGTAATTGAACTAGGATAAATCTGCTTTATGAGTTTTGAAGGTGGCTCTAGGCCATGAGTGATATACCTTTTTATATTCTTCAAATGTAGCATTTTCATTTTACATAAATCCAGTATAGTTTACAATCTTGCAGTTTTATAATCCAGCATATTTTAATTTTCCTACATTAATATATAACCTTCTACATGAAATACAGTTCTCTGCCTTTTTTTTCTCCTTTCCCTATTCATAGCCTAAAATACATATTTACATAGTGATACATCAAAACATGACTTTGTTTCTACAGGAAACAGTTAAACTTCAAGAAAAAGAGAGAGAACCAAAAATGCAATTTAACACCCAATTTCAAGCTCATTATCTTTCATTGTCTATTAACTTGGCAATGGTTCAGAAGGTAGCTCATAATAGTTTAAAATGCTGACTGAACAGTTCCGGCTTCAGTATTACTCCTTGAGTCAATACTATTGTATTGTATACATGGGAAGCTCCACAGAGGAAACAGTCGTCCAAGATTTACCTCAATATTTCCTAATTTTTAAAGTTCAGTAGCAGTTTTGTTTGTATGAAATATCAATCGACTAGTTTCCTATGTGATAGACTGTCAAAATATGCAGATAATGAAAATTGAGGAAATACAAGTATTAGTACAAATTTGAATTTATTTTCTATATATGACACAAAGCTATTTTCAGTGAGTTCTCAGTCAAATTATTGATTTTTCCTCCTTTGGGATGAATTTTTGGTGAAGTATTTATAAATGTATTTCCACCATTAAATGTATCAGTTTGTAACATTGCTTAGCCCTGTTACTCTGCATCTGCAAATTTTTAACTATTTGAAAAGTCACTGCAACAAGTTACCTCTAGTAAGAAAAGAAAGCAGATGTCCAGCTGAAATATTTTCATTCAACTATTGCCATAACATAGCTACAATTATTTATCTTACAAACAACTTCTGAAAAAAGGAATGGCAGCTTAGAGATATGTTGTTAATATACCAAATTGTTCTTCACACAGCTTAAACAAAAACTTGTATCTTAAATGATATTTCATTGAGCTGTTACATGTTAGTACCTAAATATATTTTAGTTTGTACACCCTAAAAACTTGCATCTCAAAGTTTTATAAATTAGTAATTTATGCAAAAGTGTTTATAAGAGCTTATTTATATAATTCATTTTTAAGTATTGTGTACCATGGATTTTTCTCTTATAAATCTATAATACGTTTTCACATATCCCTTCATCCATTGTGCTTAGTGATATTGTCTAAAAGCTTCAAAAATTAATAAATTAGTCTAAAATTTTAAGTAATCAAGAGTTTTATGATACAACTATTAGGAAAAACTGGCATGTTGCAAGTTATAGAGTTAAAAGCACAGGAAGGACAACAGTTTTAGTTTGTGTGTTTTTATAGGATTTAAAGCCAAAAAAAAAAGTGCCTTCTAAGCCTTTATAATAATGATACAACAAGTTATTGTAATTTTTTACTTGGTGTTTTATAAATAGACACATTTTCAGGTAACATTTGCTTTTGCTAAATACTAGAGAATTAGCATTTTAGCTTTTACCTACTTTTCTTATGCAGTCGGAGAAGATCTTTTGTGCGTACTGTGAAAAGAATGTTGGGAGTTATTTTTAGATTTATTTCATTGGACAGTGCTGTTTTGCTTTTATAAAACATATGCTTCTAAGATCTAAAAGGATAGAATGTCACTGAATTCTTTAATTTGTTCCTTTTACATTTTTACACCTTATTCTTTTTTTGTTGTTAAAAGTTTACATTTTAAAATCATTTCAACTTCTTATCATATAGAGTTCACTTTAGGATAGGATTTTTCATATGGATTCACACTTAGAAATTTAATGACTAGAATAAGGCTACTAACACTTGGCTTTCTTCTCACATCAGACATTATACTTTCAATATGAGTGAGAGTTTGGTGTATAACTTGAAGCAGGATTTGAAACAGAATGCTAGTAAGTGAAAAGCAGAAACAGAATTTACTTTTTTTCTTAAAGTGACTCCATCTATCACAGAACACTTGTGTCTCTGACTTCCCACCTGAAATAGTTTCAGACCTGAAATGTGTAAATTCCTCATTTGCATGCAAGTGTGTACTTGCTCACTCTCTTTCACACACACACACACATACGCGTGCACACACACACACATACACTTCCCTTAGGATCATTACAGAAATCTAGTACATGCAAAAATTAAATGTATCTTAATAATTTTTAAAAATCTAAAACCATTTTTCTTAACTCAAGAAATATAAAACCACTTCTTAGAAAGTTTATGTCTACAGTTTAGTCATTGACTGTAAATTCGTACTGTCGACACATGCTTTTTCAGGTCAGGCAGATGCACCAGATACGTACTTCTCACAGAGATAAAATAGGGACCTCTTCAGTGACTCCTAAGCTTAACCTGAACACAGGTTTCTAGAAGTGATCACAAAAGAATCAGCCATGGATTGACTTTGTAAACTAACAATAGTTTTTCCCTTCTAACCCAAGCAAGTCTAATATCATGACGTTGTTGCTATTTTTTTTTTTTGCCTCACTTTTATTACACTATGTGAATTTACTTACTGAAAATTCTCAACAATTATTTGAGATTAGTATTTCATGCTTTTAGAGAATCCTGATCATTATATTTTTAAATGCTGTTGAAAGACATTTTATAGCTATTTCCTCATTACCAGTATTGAAATGAATGAATGTAAGGGTACAAATAGGGCAGTTGTAGAAGGTAGACATCATTCAGACTGACAGAAGAGATTTTCATTCTTGTCTCATTTTTCATTTACTTTTATTTATAAATTGAATGGTATTCTCTGGTTTAAAAAGAGAGATGCCATTCTTTCTTTTGGTTTTTCAAAGTGACTTGTAGTTTCTTAAGATTTTTTCAGGTGATAGCTGCTAATTTTTTTGTTCTCTTCAAGTTCTCCAACATGGCAAAACCTTTATCACCTGCTGTTATTTGGAAGAGAAAAGAATTTTTCGAGTTCTGCCTGAAACTAATTCCAAACAATAATTAAGCTTACAATTCACACTCATTGCCCAGAAAAGCCATTTGTGGTTATCTTGATTATGTCAAGCTATCTATACCTGAACCACAGCCAATCTACTTCGCTTCCTTCAAGAAACTGGTCACTTTACCGTTCCCTTTTAATTTGAGCTTAAACTTTAGATTTGAATAAGGTGCTGCTCACTAGTTTTAATACTGCTATAGAGTCCTTACTTTTTCCTTAAACATGATAACTTAAATGCTTGTGACATTCTAAGAAATTCTAAAATCTCTCAACTGCACCAGCACAATTAAGGCAAATTCTCAGTCTCGGTCTCTCACTCTTTCTCTCTCTCTCTCTCTCCCCTCTGCCTTTCCTTCCCTTCCCTTTCTTTTTCCCTCTCTCCCTTCCTTCCTTCATTCTTCACCTCCTCCCTCAATTTTATTTGGTCTGGCTTTCCTTTGATTTGCCTGAATAAAATAAAAGGAAAAAGCCACTTAGCATCACAGATATGCTTTGGCTGATTAAGATCAGTTAGAGGTTTTGTCCTTCCCTGCTTACTCATTTGCAACCTGACCCTAGGTGCTTTTCTTGGCCTCTTTATGACTCATCTGTAAACCTGGAAGAATATTTTTTTTTTAAATAGCATTTTCACCCTGAGGTACTGCTATAATGAAATAATGAATACAAACCTGTTGTAAATAGGAAGCGCTTTATAAATTTCACATAATAGCAGTAGTGGCATTTATCTTTGTGTCTTAATCATTTAAAAGTAAAATTTACATTAGCAAAAACTTGTATGTATAGTGTTATGCCTTGTGTTTTATAAAAGTTAAACGTTGGATGATGAACTTCCAATGGCTGTCATTCATAACATAAACCAAAAAATATTTGTGCAACAGAATATACCCATTTGCAAAAAGCAGTAGCCTTCTTCTCTGGTTGGAAATACAATGACACTTTAAACCAATCAGAAATTGAGATTTCCTGAGGTGATGAAACTCAAGAACCATTTACTTGGTGGCTTTTTGAAATGTAATTGACGTAAGTGATGCAAGTTTGTGATATAAATTTTCAGCATACTTTCATCTTTCAGTCATTAATGCTCTTCACTTCTTTCTCTTCTCTCCCTCCTCCTCATTGCAGGGTGAAATCACTCCATTTTCTTGGGCAGCCCTACATGGTAAATTCAGGTCTCTGCTTACAACAGAACCTAGGGAAGATTTGTGACAGATGGGGCTAAGTCACAAACTTGCAGCCTAAGGCAGAATCTGAAGAACTTTCCAGAGTGTGCCCATATTTACCTGATCAGAGAGAAAAGAAAATCTGCAGAGGAAGCTGAGCCTGGCTGCTTGTCATAGCTGACACAGAGCCATCTGCCACAAACCTGTGGCGGCTTCAGATCTCCAATCCCTGCCACCACCCCAACTCAAATTAAATACAGATTCCTAGAGACGTTATGATGGTTACACATGTCCTCGGCATCACATGTAGGAGACTGTTCAAAAAAATATGTGGCCTGTTGTATAACCGCACTCATGTATCCCATATGTGGTGCCACATTGAATTTCCGGTTGAATCCGTTTTTATCCTTTGTACTGGATGACATGGTGCCTGAATTCTTTCTTTTCGCCGACACGATGGCAGCCAAACTGCAGCTTCAAACGCTCACACTTGGCTGGGTTTCTACCTAGGTTGCCAGGTTATCGTCGGAGCCTTCTTGTGTCCTCAAAGGGCCACGAGGCCTGTAAGGAGGATCAGAATGCTTCGGAACTAATTGGGCAGCCATCGCAGAATTGTTTGTGGGCAAAGGGCTGCTTTAGCACTTTTCTTTTAGCAAATTAATGACTCTCAGGCATAGGTTTTTAAGTGAAGGTATTAATAAGAGGTCTGGCAGGTATTCCCATGATTCACATAGTTACATTTGCATTTCATTAATCTTAAAGAAAGTTGCAAGATAAACAGCTGTAATTCGGACAAGCATGACAAACACAGTGAGGGCATCTAGCCCATAAAATGAGCACTGACATAGTTGTTTTAATTTTTTTCCCCAGGTAAAAATAGAGAAATCAAAATACTTCTAACAAAACCAGTAATTTTGATAGAAATATTTCTCAAAAATACTTGCATCCACCTACAAATATAACCTTTTCAAGATAAACGCTTGTGATTCCAATAGTCAAACTGCTGTGTTTGTTGATGTAAAGATGTTTTGAATGGCTAGATGGTAAAATAAGTTTTTAATAAAGTACCCACTGCCATTTTTAATTAGCATATTCATTTACGTATAGATGTATACATCTACCTATATGTTTCTCACTGAATGTTTTCCTTGTGACAGAGACAACGAATACAATTGTTTCTTTTCCGGATGAACAAGGATCTGTTTTGCAAATGTTTGTAAGATATTATGACATTTCCAAGATTTTCTTTGCATTCTGGAAAGCAGGAGGTAAACATTTGTAGTCATTAAGGTAAAGTCTGTTGATAAACCATCTTCTGTTTACTGACAGGTAAATTGTAACTTTCCTAGCTTTTGAAATGAATAACTTCTATATACCACAGAGTGAGGCACAGCCAGGGAAAGGTGGCTAGACAAGGGCCAAGCCAGGCTCTCTGGCTTCTGGAAGGATTGAGTGGGCTATCAGTCATCTTGGATAGAGAAGGCAGTGATTCAGAAGTCCAGTAAGGCCCATTTGACAGGTAGCAAAATTGAAAGCAGGAAATAGATAAGGTTAGGGAGTCAGACAAAGGCCTTGGGAGAGAGGCAGTATGGCATACCAAAGAAATCAGGAGTTCAGAGTCCATGAGGCCTGGGAATTTAAAAGCAGGAAGAGTAAGAAGCAGAAACAACAAGCTCCATCTGAATAGACTCCTCCCTCCAACCTTTATGAGACCCACAGTGTGTGATGGGCCATCACAGCACTAGCTTCTAGACTCTTACAGGGAAGCCAGTGAACAAAATTACCTCCTCACCCAGAAAACAAAGAGCTAAGGACTATTTTGGAAGTTCCTTCCCGTCTAAGACTGTGGAACTCAGAATCTAGCAGGCGTGCTCCTTTGGAGAGCAAAGCTAAAGATATAAATATGAATAAGAAATTCTTTGCCACTTCTCCTGGGCAGGGTTATACTTTATGCTATCTACTGGGATAAACCAGATGTGTCAGTTTGCTTCTGTCAGGTGCTATGTCACAGACAACATCTTCTCAAAATAATACTATCTCACAACCAGGAAATAGTGCTTTATTGACTTTGTTTTTCTATTCTGAAAATAATGGGCCTACATTTTATAGTGGCTAGGATATTCTACACACAACTAGTACCCATATATCTTTTCTCACTAATTGATAGGAAAAAAAAAAAAGGCACTAAACATTTATGCATTTTCCTGATTTAGGCAAATATAATTGAAAGTTACCTGTATGTGGGCATTTTTTCTACACTCATAAATGCAAATCAAATTTTGCCTTTAGCTGGGGCCAACATTCCTCCCAGAACAAAAACTTACATTAAAGGTGTCACTTATTTGCATGATGCTGAGATTTGCAGTTTATAAAATTTAAAAAAAATATGAAGACTGTAATGTCAGAGTTGCTGTTCGTTCACATGAGCAATAAAAAGTTTTATAAATGTGTAATTCTTAACATTTAAAAATATGTAGGAGTGTATGTGCATGTGCACACATGCTTCTCAACACCCATGACCTAGTGGAATGGAGTGTTATTAAATAAGTTTATCAGCATTTTGTTGGTCTCAGCAGATAATTGGGACTACAATTTGACTCATTAATTGTTTCCCTTTTCGGAGGAAGGCAGCCAATCACACTGCCGTGTATGTACCTATGCAACAATCTTGCATGTTCTTCACATGTACCCCAAAACCTAAAATGCAATTAAGAAAAGAAAAGCCATTAAAAAAATTGTTTCCCTTTTCAACCACCCCCATCATTTATTGGTTTGAGTATGTTTGATGGAAAATTTAGTCTTTTTTTTAACTTTCGATTGTTAATTTTTTCTTTTCCAATTTTAATTGTAAGTATCTTTAAAAGTCCATCCATTATCAAGACTTTGATGCAGTGTCTTGAAACGCAGTTTGCCCTAAACTTAATCTGTGTTTCTGGCTAGTGTTTCTGTAACAACTATCAGGGCACCTGTTCTTAACCTACTCATTTATACTGTGTTGATCAGAAATAGATGCAAATACCTTTTTTAAAATGCTCCTGGTTTAATAAGCATCCTTCAAATCCAGTTAAGCTTAAATGCCCTGCTCCTTTTCTCAATCCTTCAGACATCAATATGGCAGCAGAATCCATAAGTCCAATGAAATTCAGCCATAGAGGGCTGCATAGATTAATTTCAACACCTTAAAATGCATCTGGAAGCAAAGATTTCATTTTATATTGAAGGTGTTAATTATATTTGATATTTTTAAAAGTAAAATCTGTTTTTGAGAAAGCATCTGCTACCCAGAAATATTATGAGCCACAAAATAAATTTCACTTAGGTCTCAAAAGATACTTTCTGTGAATGATAGAATCAGTTTTCAAATGATAGTCCATGTTTTCTTTTAATGCTGACATGCACCATGAGCCTTATTCTTCTATTGACGATTGACCCAACTTCCTATCTTTTTCAGTGGAAAATTTGGGACTGTTTAACATTAGATCTTATGTTTAACAAAGAAGAGAGTATATTATAAACCACTAACTTGAACATGTTTCATTTTAAAATTTGAATTGTGGTACAGACAACTAATGCTCCCATCCTATGCCCTCTCTTCAAAGCTATTCATTAAGATATAACTGGGGAAGTTTTAAAAACATGCAAGCAATTCTACATGCTGCTCAAAGATATATACCTGTGTGATTAAAGTACAGTATTACAGAAAACCTGGGAATTAACCAAACTTCCAATAATGGTTACATCAGAGGAGCAATGGCAGAGAAGAACAGAACATAGAAGTGGGGAGAGGTGCATTCATTGCATGATGAGCGGTCTGTTTGTTAAGCTGGGTCATGCTACACAAAGGCTTCCTGCTATTCTTTATGACCTTTCATCATGTCTTCAGTGTATTTATTGGATATACCTTTTGATAGGAGATATAATACTTTGGGAAGCATGTTACTAGTTTTGCTATCAGTCTGTCCATAACATTTCTTGGCTTCCTCAACTATTGATTGTGTCAGAAAACCGCTTCCCTCAGACAGTGACAGAAACGACTCTACTGCCAACTTTGCATGAGAAGACTTTTCTCTAGTTAACAGGAGCCAGGGACTTCACCCCAACCCTCATGCTGTGGAGAAAGTCAGACTTAACTATCCCTGAGTTCGTTTCTTGTGGCTGCTGATCACCATTTCTAACTGATGCCTCTGGCATTGCAAACACAAGATGGAAAACTATAGCTCTAAACTCCCTTTTAAAGGGTAAGGAAAGGAAGAAGAATGCAGATGTTAAATGAGCCCAGGCTTTTGGATCTCAAAAACTTCAGAGCTGCCTGTTAGAGCACAAGAGCTCTCTGAGCTCCCATCCACACTGCCCAGTCCCCGTAGTGTTGCCTGTCCCCTTTCCTCTTCAAGACACAGGAGCGAATCATGGTCTCTGTCCTTTCCTTGCAATCTATCCCAGGGGAAGAGTTCTCCCTGGTATCTGTGGGATGCCCTCGTTGCATATGAGGCACAGATGGCTTCAGGGACCAGGCTCCCCGCTCAATCTGCAGCCCATTTCTCTATATTGGAATTTGGGATCAGTTTTTTCAGGTGTCCTGCCATCATCTTTCATTATCTGACTGATTTCTTATCCTCTCCCAACCCCAAGGAGAGGATACTAATTGTTTTTATAAACTGTTTTAAGGAATTGATGATTCTTAGAAGATCATTTTAAATGGTTATATTACTTTCCTATCAATTACTGCATTTAAATAGCAGGCCTGAGGTGTGGTGCCAGAAGATGTGACTCCTAGGAATACTAGTATGACCTTTCTCAAGCAATTTGAAATCCTTTAGATCTGCAAATTTAACGTTTCCAATATCATTTCACAAACGAGAAAATTAAGGCACATATAGTGACATATTTAGGAGCTGAAGTGTGTTACAGAAACAGAAGATTTTTTGTATAAGCCTTTCGCTATGTGGTATGCTGTCATTGTCAGCCATGTGCCGTTCCGGAAGCACCAAGTGCAGTGTGCATGACTCAGTTGGACCCCTAGTTCCCTTCTATTTCTCTCTCCAGCTGGCAGGAGGCAGCAAAGGGCAGTGGGGGTGTTTATTTTTTGTGGCCCACATTTCTGACGTTAAAAGGGATATTAAGAGACCGTGTAGTATGGCCAATATTTTAATTGTTTTTATTATTACTCTGAGTCTCCCTTTAGGGAGGCATTCAGTGAGTATACCCTGTCTGTCACAGGCCCCAACCACTCCCTATGGTCTTACTCTCTGCTGAATTCATACATTTAGGTAACTTCCCTGGGCCTCCTGAGAAGCACTTATTTTTGTAACCTCCTGTATTTGAGATGTAGGAAACGGGGGCCTGAGGAGCAGTTGACTTGCCTTGGGTCCCACAGTGGTACATGCAGATCTAGAACTCAGATTTTCCAGGGCTCTTTCACTAGGCTGTGTTTGGGCAGTAGTCAAGACCAACTCTTCAAGAAGGGAAAAACATCTGTGTTCTCATCTCTTTCTCATCTTTCTTCCTTCTGCCTTTCACTGTCAGAAGAAATGTGTTAATAAGTCGCTAATACCTTACTCTAGATGTATTTCATGTTACACCTGCCAGTATTTGTATTCTTAATGACCAAAAGGAGAGGAATGCAGAAGAATTGATTTCTGTACTAAAAGTTCAGACTCTGTGGTGTTTGTGATATTTCTGAACAACTGATCCTTCTCTATTGCCTTTCGAATCATACAACGACAGAGTTACTCACCCAGGTATGTATAAGGCTGACCTTCATCGGAAAGGCAGCCCCCCTCATCTTCCCACACAGGGCGGAAGAGCAGAGGGAGCAGGTGGCAGCCTGGTAGCACTTTTAACTGTGCAGCACTGGGCCTGCTTCCTCTCATCCAAAAGCGATAACACAGAAATTACATCCCGAGACTTACTTCCCCAGAAAGAAAAGGAAGGGGAAAGATAACTTAAAAAGGAGAAACTTCTAATATGGTATTAGACTGTAATTCATAGGGAAATTTGTGCCTGAGATATGAATTTCTGAAAATAGGGGGCTTTTTGGAAGGGAAACACTGACACGTCCTTAATTATAGAGTAATAAATACCAATGGTATATTATCTTTCGATATTTCCTTACACAGATATCAAAGCATGCAGCTGGTTTTGAAAACTGATAATCAAGTACAATATAAGCATATTACATCTTACACTTACAGTACACCCTTCAACTAAGAGCATCATGGAGCACTTAACGGTGAGAAACAGAGCTGCTCATAGTAGAAACCTAACTGAACAAATTAGGTTTGAATTGTAACTTAAGAATCATAGTCAAACCAAAGCGCCTGTCCTTGCCAGGAAAGGCATTCCAAAGGCAGAGAGCATGCCAAGTAAAAAGCCTTTGCTTCAGGATTATGGAGGCAGTTCTGAAAAGCCAGCATAACTTAATGATCAATCAGAAAAATATAGAGCAGTAACTACACAACTGAAGGATGCATAAAAATTGTACAAAGCGTTAATAGTGGAATGGGGAGGTAGGATGGGATTTTACCAGCAAGTATTAAGCTCTTGGAAAGCTTCATTTATTGCCTTCAATCCACGCAGTAGAAAGAGAAAGGGAAAGACAAACATGGTCAAAGAAAAGTATTTGGACAAATGTAGGGGGTAGAAAAGGAAATGAAGGTTAAGCAAGGCCAATATGATTCAGAATAAAAGGGAGGGAGGGAAGTATAAGGAGCCAGCTGCAATTACTGAATGTTACATTAAGAAGAGCTGAAATTGAGAGGGGGAGGTCTTGAGTATTTTACTAAGTGGATTAATGTCCTCTTCCTTGGGTGTCTGAAGTTGCAGATTTTAATTTATTTAGTGCAGGGATTTATTACGGAATTTTTAATGGGTGGGGGAGATAAACAGGGACAATTATAAACTCTTAGGAAGTAGAAAAGAGGACCATATAATACTTTCTGTAAATTTAACTGTAATAAACAGGGTTTCAAGCTATGGACAAAGATAGTCAAAAAAGTGTTTAGTCCGTGATAATAGGATTTAAAGGGAAATAAGAGGTATGTCCAAAAAAACTTAATAAAGACCAAAACAAAGAAAGAAAACCCCACATAGACGTGTGAAGCCAAGGATTTTGAATGGAGCTAGTTTTATTGCTGTTCTCCTTTCTCCACCCATTTAAAAAATAAATCATAACTCTGGCATTTAAAAACCTACTCATGAACATCATTTATTAATATAAACTTAATCCTGTGCTATTCTTTGGTGGGTGGTAAGAACATGAACTAACAACAACTGGACTAAAATGATGGCAACAGGACGATCCACTCAAACACAGGAAAGCCAAAAGAAAAAAACTAATCTGTTCCTTCACCTTACTTATTTTGCAGAAGGATAAAGCCAAAAATGGGAGAGGGTGTGGCTAAACCACAGAAAGACTGGTTGCCTAAAGGAAAAATCTTAAAAGTTTTCCTAAATATGTATTAGAAGTGGAAGGGGGATTTAAACCTTGTATGATTTCTATCATTTAGTTAATCTGCTAATCTACTTACCTGGAAGGTGAGAAAGAGTGCTGTCTGTCTTCTGCAATTGAAGAGACTAGGGCAGAAACTTAATCATGTTCTTATCTGTGAGTTCTTATACCTGGCTGTCGCCTGGCTGGCAACCAGCCCACAGACTACTGGTTCAGGCATTTGCCTGGCAAACATGTTAGCCATCATTTAAATTGTTAAATATGAATCAGAAAATCTTTAAGAATTACTGATAAGCAGCTGTTAATATTGAATGTAATAGTATTTGGGATGTGGGTAAATCATTTGACTAGAACCACGTGGGGAAAAAAAGGATTTGGAAATCTTATTTTTTTAAATGCTGTTGGGGAGATGGCATTAATGAAAAATATATAATTGAAAGTGGAAAAAAAACATCATCTACAAAGAGGAAGATAGGTAAAAATGACTAAGTAAAGCAGCCTTGTCACCTTCGACCTGATGCTTCATTGTATCAGAAGAAAGTAAACAGATTGCTAACAAAGAGACAACCCCCTTCTAATTTCCAAAACTGGCCCAGCAACAGGAGGAGGAAAATAGAGAAGAATGCACTGTGTGGTGGCTCAGGGTGATCCTTTGAGTATTAAAAATGAGGGCACAGACCTAGAGGTTTTTAATGGTCAGTGGGTGGACTTTAGATTCTGAACACTCTTCCACCTTCTGTGGAGAATTCGGGACACGGTGGAGTTAAACCAGTATCTTAAATCCCAGGGACAGGGTGGAGATTGCTTTGTGATCATGATTAATTAAAAGGAAAGAAATCAAAGCAGACATCTCTCCTTTTTCTATTTGAGCCGCAGAGCCATGGAGGGGAACTTGTGCTCTCTGGTGCTTGCAGCTATGTTCCCTGGCTTTCAATCGGCTTGGCTTCTCCCCTTGTATTTCTAATGCTGTGATAACAGGCCAATAAAATAGAATCTACAAAATTGCAAAACAAAATTGCATGTATGTGTGTGTGTATTAGAATTTTACTGAAGATAATGAATTGCAACACTCCACAAAAAATTTTAACTTAAAATATATGAGTAATGAAGTTTTAAAGCAGCAAAATGTGCTCAAGCGGAGCATTTGTAGTCCCTTTTTGGTAAGAGGTTCCCCAGACCTCTGGGTGCATCAGCAAACTGTCTTCCTACAGGAAGGAGCGTGCAGCTGCGATTTGGCCCAGGGCACCACCTATCCAGAGTAACTACCTAATGCATTTTACATTTGCACACTTCGTCAAGGGGTGGGGGGCAGATAAGAAGGGGCCTCCCCCCACCCCGCAGCGTTCTGTTTCGTTTTGTCGCGGCCGTCAGCTGACACATGGAAAATGTGGTGTACGGTTTTGTTTGCCTTTAATCGGTAATTAAGGATCCCTTGTCTGGGGCTTGCTACCTCTTTCTGCCTCCCTGCGGCTCGGGTCTTCCGCCCTCACTCGGGTCTGGCCTGGCGCACCGCAGCATGGGAGCTCGGGGTCGCCGGGCGGAGAAGCTGACAGTGGGGAGGCAGGGGCCTCCGCGGGGCTCGGCACTCGCCTGCCTGAGAGAGCGCGCGCCCCGACACGCCGGCCCTGGCTCGCCGGAGCCCCGGAACACCTAGTGCCTTGTGTCGGTGCAGCTGCGCCCGCGTTGCCCAGAGCGGGTCACCTCGTCGCGCATCCCTTCCCTCCACACCGCGGGGTCTCAGCGGCCAGCGAGCCCGAGCTCCGGTCGGCGGCGGCGCCCGCCCTCGACGCCTAGCTCGGTCTAGTCCAGAGCGAGTGGGGGGAGTTCTGCACCTTTCGGGCGCGGGAACATGAGGGGCCGGGTGGGCGGGGGGGAACGTTAAGGTCACGAAGTCATCACCCGCTCCTCTCGCCCGCGTGGGCGCTGCGGGAGCGCAGAGCCGGAGCACGAGGGTCTGGTCCCCGGGCGCGGGCCCCGCCAGCCCCCGGCGCTCCCACCCGCGCGCACTCCCTCGCACCCCCGCCCTGGCACGCGCGCCTTGGCGCTTGCACACCCCGCCACGCGCGCGCTGTCACGCACACACACCGGCACGCACCCGCCACGCGCGCCCCGACACTCCCAGGCTGGCACACGCGCACGCGGCGGGGGCCCACTACTGCCCGGGTTTGGCTGCGCGGGGCTCGCGTGCTCCCTCTCGGGCACCCCTGGGATGGGAGCGCAACCCGGTGGGCCGGCACCCTGTGCTCTACGCGTTTGACGATTTCACTGAACTCGGGTCCCTCAGTGCGTCCTCTTCGTATTCAGCGAGTGAATACGCTGAGGACGCACTAAGCAAAACCAGAAACACCGATGCCTACTACTTTTTTTAAAAATGTAACTTGCTCTCAGCAGTCTCGGGAGGGAAGTGGGGATGGGCATGGAGACCTTCCGGAAAGGATTTTTATCTACACACTTTAGAATACTCCTCCCTGACTCTGGGTATGTTCAGATACGTGATTTAAATCTCACCCCTGGACGCTTTTTCACTTCACACCTGTGTATTGAAATACAAACCTTGTTTCTCCTCCTCACCACTAACTGGTTATTTAGGAGGAGTTGAGAAGAGGAGTTAAGCTATATTAGGGCAGGAGAGTATTTAGAAGCATCACATTGATTTGTCACTCATTTGCTCTGATTAAGTTTTTGAAAATTTGGGAAAATGTTCCTATTTTGAAGCTTGTATTTTGTTAAAAGCCTCCCTCACACTGCCATGGTGTATTTATCTGAGTATACACATGTATGTAAAGGAGAACAGGAATGCTGCTCTTTCCTGATTCCAGCAGTGCCGTTTTCCTTTCTATTCACGTGGTTTTCGCATAATTTTCTCCCTCTTTCTCACCAACAGAGATATTGTAGTATACAAAAGCAGGGCACACCTGTGACCAAATACAAGAAACATTAGCCTGGAGTGTTTGCGAACTCCCTGTGATCCATCGCTCAAGATTTCCCCCTTCAGATTTGAAATATTCCCCAAACGGGGTTAAAGGTGTGGGCGGTGGGTTAACACATGAAAGCAGTCGAAAAGTAAAGGGAGGTTGGGAGGGGGTGGCCTACGTAAACCTACCCGTGGAAGGCTGAACAGGAACACATGGAAAGTGCATGAAGAAGAGACTGTAAACAATGATATTCAGGGCTTTCAAAAATCATAAAACGGATTGAAATATCTGATTCATTATTTATTCATCACAGCGCAACTTTGCAAATGTGAGAATAGTGTTTGGAAACCAAGTGCCTTCTATTTAGTACATCAAATCAGCAGATGGGTCTCCCTTCCAAACTGCGGCGAAAGGGTTAAAGCTATAATTTTAGAAAAGAATCTCAGGAAATGACACTCAGATCTAATATATTTCCTTTTCTTTCTGGCAATAATATCCCCCAAAGAATAAATATATACTTATTGATATCATGATAATGTTTCTCATTCTGAGTACAAGTGTCAGACTGATTCCCGTTTGTGTAAGTGTTTTTAAAACTGCGAGGACACTTTCACTACTCTGAAAGCTGACGAGCCAATGAAGGGGAACTTCTTTTAACTCCATAATAGCAGGTTACATAGTAAATGAACACTGATGGTCAAATAGCCAGTTATGGTATAAATATCCGTTGTTTACAGAGAGGTGTTAAATGAGCTCTTGGAGTACAAGGGATTAGGCCGATCTACGCTACAATTTGTTCTTCAACCCATTATGTCTTCCCTTTAAAAGGCCAGTGCCATTGTAGGTAGTATGCACACAGAACATACTTCTCTATGTTGATTTTAGTTTGCTTTATTTCGATGCACACTGTTGTTTACTTTTTAAAATTTAAATAAATGTCAGCATTGTATAATTTCTATGTTAACAAAGCAGTGAGCAAAATCCCTTGTATGTTTATAAAATATTATTGTTTAATTCACATAGTTTAGAAATTCCAAATGTTGAGAATAGGAAGGAGGCCAAATACCATCTGTTTATAACTATGATGCATCGTAATATGTGTACTTTTAAAAGGAGTTTGGTCAATCATGCCACTATTTTATCTGCTTGGAATATGTTGGAGATTTAAAATGTAATTTACAGGATTACTTTTAGTGCGTTGCATCCAACTGTGAGTTGTAAAGAAATCGGTCTCTTCTGTTTTTCTCAAATTAATCATGTAACAGCCCCAATTAATGGGGGCTGTTAAACGTGTCGCTTTTTGCTTAGCTCCAGAATTCCTCTAACTTTGGCTCAGTCCACCTTCTTGATGCTGATAAAAACTCCAAGGACAAATGAAACAAAACACTCCTAGCTGTGTCTTTCTGCCAGGAGATAGTCACTAAGAATGGGAGGCAGGGTATGGTAGCTAATAATTAGCTAACATCAGCCTGAGAAATTACCTGTGAAATACCCTTGGGTACTGAATTGAAAATCATTTGACACTCCCTGATTTAAAATAGTATTTTCTTGTCCCTGAGACTTCTGATTTAACTTACCTTTTATTTCAAATGCCTCTAATTGCATACCATGTAACAAAGGGAGTATACTGACTTGCAATAGATGAACAGGTTTTTGTTTTTGTTTTTAGTTACAAACTCAAGTTACTCAGTTAGGAACTCTCCCTTGCTTTGCAAATTAGGGATTCTCGGCAACTGGGCCTTCAATTCCAGGCAGCCATAATTTTGAATCCAGAGGTGGTTTTAGGGTGTCACAGCATGGGGTCTCTATTTCAAGATGGTGGAAGTGAAGATGAACTCAGATGCCTTGAAAAAGGTTTGAAAGCGGTGATAAAAAAACATTTATTAGCAAATGATGGTTGCTTGATTGATTTTTTAGCAAGGTAGAATCAGTAAAAAACTACATCTTGAAATGCTTTTATAAACACATGCAGAAATATGAAAACAAACTCCCATTAAACTGGGCATGTTCTGGATGTTTTACTTCTCAGTTGAGTGTTCAATGAAAAAATGGTGCTGTATAAAGTGGTTTCTCTGTACTATTTAGCAATATCTGTTTTCTCAAACATTTCAGATTTAGCAGCTTCATCTAAAATTGTACCAACCTAGATTATGTACTCATACATAATTAAGAACATTCACAGTACCTTCTCTAAGTAAACAAACTGACCCAGACCCATGTATACTTTTTTTTTCAATCTAAATATTGTATTTTGAAAGCAATTTGAAACAAATATATTTTCTTTCTGGTCAGATTTTTTCTCCAAAAGATTAATCTATTGGCTTTTTATGTTATCAAAATATGCTTAGGCTGGGTTTTCTTTGGGTTACAGTGAGAAAATGCCAGACTCCTTTTTCCTACATCATTGCTCAAGTGTGTACAGAGTAGAAGAGTGAATCCCAAAAATAATAATAATGTTAGGATAAAGAGGAAAGCAATTGGAGAAAGTGGAGGGGAGGGAGGTGAGAACAGCAAAAGATAGAACTGGGATAAAAAAGGTTTATCAGACAAAGCTTTCCAAATTGCTTTGAGGGGATAAGACATAATCATTACAAGCCTCATCATTTCCAAGTGAAACCTAGATTGTAAGGGAAACTTTTAAGTGAACCTTTTTGATACATATGAACTAGTTTTTCCATTTAAGCCCAGTATTCTTAAGTGAAGCAAGTGCTAGAAGATATCCATATTCCCATCATGGGAGACAGAGAAGGAGTAGAGGTATTCTCTGTATTTAAGGCATTTACAATTTAGAAATAAGCCATAGACACATAAAATGAACAAGACTATGTATAATGCACTGTTATATGTTGCCTATTGTAAGTGCAAAAATAATGATGATTTTAAGTGGAGGAATTATTCAGATATGCTTTCCTTCTGAGTACTTTAGCAGTTCATTTCTGGGCAAGTGAAATAAGGCTTAAAATGAATAAACTCTTCGGAACTCCTCTACTCTAATGAATTGCAGTAGATAATCAAGATTGAAATTGGCACGTAGGTGTGCATATCGTGTTCCCTTTAGAACTGACTTAGAGCCATAGCAATGACCCACAGTGTGCACATA